TTTTAAAAGTTATTAAATGTGATTAATTTAAATTTTATTTGCAAGTATGAATATCTACGCTTTTGACACAAGTTTTGCATTCAACGAACAACACCACCGAAATTTGCATTCGCATCTTTCTTTGATAGTTGATTTTTGTGTATTGTAACCTCTACCACAACAAAGGAGATTACATCCATCCATGCCAGATGATGTTCTGTTGCAAATTCTTCCATGTGTACCTAATAAACATTATTTATTCTTCTTTACAAACTCATATAAATTTATATAAATCTTATTTAAGAAATATCTCATTACCGAAAATTAATAAATTATATAAAAAAGACGCATGTACATTTTGTAGAAATTGTATATATAAATATAAGTAAACATGTTCATATGTATATACGTTGTATATACAATGTATATATTGCATTTATATATGTATTACGATATAGAACAAACAGTTTTATTTTGGAATTAAAGATTTAACAAATTAATTGATTACAATTAAATATTTTAAGATTGTTAAAATTATAAATACACATTCTTAAAATTTCATAATATAAAATTAGAAAAAATTATATTAAATTATATTAAAATTTACTCTGCTTAAATTAATTTTATTTTTTATTAAAATTTCATTTTTAAAAAAAATGTTTACCTAATGATCCGAGTGTTTCATTAGGAAGACAATAGTTCGGAGAGTCATCCAAATACACTAAATCATTCGCTGTAGGTAAGGAAAATCTTGGATCTCGCATAGATAGACGGCCACGTCTGTTTACTCTAACTTCTGTTGCTCCATCGTATTTATCTAAAAGAAAATCACCTGTAAAAACAATTAATTTTTTATGAAATTGTTACAAATTATTGAGATAAAAATAATTTTAAATTTTACTCATACAGAATAAATATAGAATTTTGTTTTGCTATTGTTTATTTTTTTCTTTTAACGATATTCATAATTTAAATGTTTACAAGTTTTTTTTACACTTTTGAATCTATTTTTTTGGATTACTTTTGAAAAATTCTAAGAGAGAAAAAAATTTAATTATTTATATTTGAAAATTGTAATAAATGTATGGAATATGATTATAGAATAGAGGATATAAAAAATAATATTTAAAAATTATTCTATTATGTTTTACATAAATAATTTAAATCATTGTAATATTAAAAATAGTTATAATAAGGAAGACATACCAATTTCTCGAAATGATGCAAGTTGCTGCCAGCAAGTAATTAAACTACAACTTCCAGAAACTCCATGACACTTGCATGTTACTTTGGATCGTTTTATAACCGCCTTTAAAATATGATAATATTTTATAATGAATCAAATCATAATTTAATAATGAATCAAATAATTTGACAACTAAAAATATTAATATATAATATTTCATATATTTCTACTTTAATTATTTTTTGCCTTTATTTAATAAAATAAGAAAATTAATGAAAATGAAAAAATGAAATTTACCCTACGTCCAGCTTCGTTATTATGAAGATTCATTAGGCTTCTACCTTGTTCTCTGCTACCTCTTTTAAAGCTTCGTTCACGTTCTTTTACATCAACAAATGCTTGTGTAAATCTAACAAAAATTTAATCGATACAATATATGATGAAGTAAAAATTTTAATTTACATAAATAATTTACATAAACTTTGTAACAAAATATTTAGTATTAATGTAGATATAAATCAAAATCAACAAATATCTTTTCAGATCGATTTTATTAAAAGATTTCCATATACAAAAGTTAATATTTTCAGGATGGAAAATGATGTAAAGAATTAAATGAATTAAAAAATTCAATTAAAAAAAAGTAATTTATTTTTAATACTTACTTATAACCGTATTCGAGATTATCCCCGCATCCACCCCAGATCCAATCTCGTTTTAGATCTCTGGGTCTGTTACTTCTAGAACAACCACACGAGGATAATTGTCCGTCTCTGCAGGATCGACTTATCGAATACACCACTCCTGCAGTTGTGATTGCATGAACGAATGCAGTTTCTCTACTCGCTATTAAAAATAATTAATACATTATAAATTATATACCAATTTTATACATACAAATTTTATTAATAAGTGATTTTTTTTTTTTTCAAAAGCATTAGAAATATTAACTTTAATACTTAAATTAATACTTATATCTTTTAATAATAATCATTGAATTACGAATAATTATTTATAAATATATATAATTTATTTATTAATAAATTTCTAAACTTTTATTTTCGTTTAAAGCATGCCCTTGTCTTTAATTGAAACAAATAATAATGATAAAATTATATAAATGAAACGTATCTTGTTCTGACTGTTTTATAAACTTAATGATCTCTCTTTTATAAACTCTTGATCTCTCTTTCTTGTTTATTATAAGTTATCTGTTGATAAGGATGATGAAATTATTGCATTATAACATCTCTCGTTAAATATCTCGGAAAAAGAATCATAAACTTTCATTCCCTCAAAAGACATATTTTGATCTCATTGTGTTTAACGAGCAAATTAGTAATTTTCCCTACCGTATAAAAGATTTGTACCTATTCTAAGCATGGGTCCAAACACGGACTCATTAGAGACGGTGGAACAATTCCATCTTCGATCGTGAAATTGATGTTGACACTCAAGAATCCCAAATTTTGCACCCTTAGCCACACTTGGCATATGATCCACCGATAACTGACAAAGCTTTCCTTGGCCTTGCGAAAGACCTTTCAACCCGTGACAAATACTAGACGCGGCTACGTCATAAGTCTCCATCATTTGTGCGGTGTCTAATTGTGGATAGTGTTGCAAACCGATATTTCTGAAACCATAAAACAATATCATGTGAGAAAAAAAAAGTTATAAAATCCTTCAATGATTTTTAATAAAAAAAAAAAATTGTTACAAGCAGACAAAGCTTTAAGCTTTAGCTTTTATAACAATATTTATATAAAGTTTAATTCTTTCGATTCAAATAAAAGATCTACACGCGTTCAAAAAGCAAAATTCATCGTCAAATTCTTTCAAAAATAGATTTTTTTTCTTTTTTTATAATTTAATTTTTAAATTGGATCACACTAATAAATGATCCAAATGGCAAATGCTAAGTTTATCTAATTTTTTTTCTCGTTAAGTAACGCATGTTTATCGACAGTCGTTAAAAGCGACCAAGTCAAAAAGTAATCTAATTTACCCGCTAGGGATTTAATATTTTAATCCCTAGCAATTTTCACGCAAAAGGAGCTCGATCGATGCTCCCTAGACGCGTTCTCTCGATTTCAGTTTACCCTTCGTTAAACAACGCAACGGTTCCCTTTCTTTTCTTTTTTTTTTTTTTTTCTTGAAAGGAGGGCGTGCATAAACGCAATCGAAGCTGCGCGCGGATTTGTTACGCCGATTACGTATCAAATTCGGAGCGGAGAAAGCCGTGGGCGGGGAACGATTCTCCGCGCCGATTTTTAATGGCACATTTGTGAGTCAACCGAGCGAGATGATGGAACGACGCCGTCACGGACAGAAGTCATGGGGTGCTCTAACGGAGCTACCAATCTGAAATTCAAAACGGGTGCTCGTAAAGGTTTCACCGAAGACATAATACGGGTGTACACACTCGGATGCTCTAATATTGCTAATTGAGCACACGAAATACACGTTTCTTGCTACGAGAAAAGTTTTGTCATTTTTTTCGGGGGGGGGGGGTAGGGAAGAGATAACAAAAAAGAAACGGTAATTATAAAACGGAATCTCGCGTTTAATTATTTTTACGATAATATTCTCTTTTCATGAACGAATCAATGTGAGTGTATTCCTTGATTCTGTGTTCTTCGTGTTGTACACTTAGTTTCGTTGTTAGTAAGTTAATCCAGAAGATTTTCTTTTTTTTAGAAAAGAAGTATCGTACGGACCAGTGAATGGACCAGTTTGTATACCGTGTTTGATAACATAATTTACATGTCAGGAGAGATATCGAGTCGATATCAAGGAAACTGTATTATTACACCTCTCAGATGTTTCTATACTGTTGTTTACTGCAGTTTCTCTTTTTACTCTAATCTCTTTTACTAGGGTGAAAGTTGCATACGATATAAGTACGTATCCTGTGCAACATACAATGCTTGGAGAAAATGTTCGAAAATGTAAGAGACTCTTTTCAATTTAAACAGGAATTTAAATCAATTTGAATTACAATTGTTGCGTTAAAATTTTTTAAATAAATATTTTGACCTTACCTATTAACGATTTTCTTTATCGATATTCATTTATCACATTTTATATGTCTCTCACCTTGTATTGTAATTAGTAAAATCTCTCAGGGCGATTATAACGAAACGATCCAAAGAACAGGTTTCACAACTACAAGTTCGAGATGGATTCGAAAAATAAAACAAGACGCGCCATCATCCCTAAACGAACACTTATACATATACTCTATTAACTAAAAGTTTGGGATCACATTTTCAATTTTATTTTAAAACATTTCCTAACATAGGAAAAAATTTT